TAGACCTAGAGAGTATGGCATTTAAATAACTTAGAATTCTGTTGGCATGAGACATGGTTGTTCTTGGCAGCACCGATTTGATCCAGAGGGTATGTTGGGCTTCTAAGACATTTCTGTTTGGAAGTTTGTCTTCTTCTTGGCACAAAATGGTCTACTGGGTAAAGAACTGCCCTTGCCTCAACTGCTAAAAGTACAAATGCTGTCCTTTCTGGATGAGTGGAACACAAGGAAAAATGGCTACTGAACTCTCCCAAAACAGGGTAAGATAGTCTTTCAAAATTCCTGCTTTTGAAAATGGTCTGTCAGATATTCTAGGCCTGTAGTCAATTTGGATGTATCAAAGATGCTGAAAAACTTTAGGTGATTGTCCAGGCTGCTGGCTGTCTCTGTCTACTCTCACAAGATTTACAAAAGTTGCTTGCATCCATCTCCCATTTTCTCAGGTATTATTATTTCCCTTCTCAGGTCTTCGATGGGATTGAAGGCTAACAGTTACAGTTATAATCTTTTTGTATATTTGCTGGGGATCTTTCTGTATGCTGTGAATGCAGTGCTCTGATTGATTGATAAATAAAATGCTGATTGGCCAGTAGCCAGACAGAAAGTATAGTATAGGTGGGATAAGCAGAGAGGAGAATGCTGGGAAGTGGAAGGCTGAGTCAGGAGATGCTGCCAGCCATCGCTACCATGAGAAGCAAGATGTAAAGTACCAGTAAGCCACAAGCCACGTGGCAACTTATAGATTAATAGAAATGGGTTAATTTAAGATATAAGAACTAGATGGCAAGAAGCCTGCCACAGCCATACAGTTTATAAGTAATATGTCTCTGTGTGTTTACTTGGGTCTGAGTGGCTGTGGGCCTGAGCAGGACTGGAGAAAACTCTGACTACATATATTAGCTAGAACACATTAAGTATTAGATTCATATTCTTCAGGATAGGACACATTTTGGAATGATATCTGTAACATGCCATTTACCTATGCTCTAGACTCCTCTGGATTTTAGTATGTGTCTCTTGTTTGATGCTGCTCTTGTTGGTTGTAGTTCCATTTATTTATGTCATTACCCTTTAGTTCTCCTTGATAATTATTCCTATTGTATATAGTTTTGTGTTAGGTTAAAATTTTCTTCCTCAGACAAAAGAGGGAGATGTAGAGGTGGTTGTTTGTGCCTTACCCTGAAGCACCACCCCTAGTGAGACAGCAGGTAACTGCTAGGTACCTGCTCCCACCAGGGTGTGGTCCAGATGGGGACCCCTTAAGACCTGGGATGACATATGTGCTCACTCTATTCGCAACCTCATGGTCTTTGATGCTGGTGTGGATCAGAGCAGAGCTCTCTGGAGAGCAGCATTGAACCATGTCTCAATCCCTATTTCCTGTATTGTGAGCTTCCTGTATCATGAATAAATTCCCCCAATAAATTCCTATAATCGTTAAGCTATTTCAATGGATTGGTAGTGATTCAATCACATTATTTCTCTACAGCAGCCCAGTTGCCACTTAGAGGCCAGAAGCCAGTGGACATTGTTGCTGGAAGTAACTTTTGAATTTATGCAGGGAGATGTAGGGAATGAAGAGGGAGGACATAGATGACACCTCTTTTGGCCATCTGAGAGAGAGGCCAAGTATATTTTCACAAAGACCAAAATATCTCCTAAGACAGTAGCAATGAAAGAATCATAATAAGGTAACCCAAACATACCTTCAAAACATATGAGCAAGGATATAAGCCTACCCAGGTGGCCTGAAAAACTGTGAGTTCTTTCTACTCATACTTCATTCAGTTTCCTTACCTTCAACACCAGTCTGACCTCCCATCTTCATATGACTCATGTCTGATATTCCCCGGGCAAGCTTGTCCTTCTTCCACCTTATAGACTCAGTTCTTGTACTTTCTCATCCACCCAATGTAGGCCCAGGCCACACAATGGCAAACTCTGTCTTTCAGCAAGTTTCAGACTTCTTTGGGTGAACCCAGTCAGTGAGAACAGGTAAAATCAGCCCAAGAAGGCAGGAAGACAAGAGAGGGCCTCTAGAGAAACAGCCATCCCTTAGTCAGAGTGCACAGAGCAGTGGTGTGATTCTCAAAAGCTGTGGTGTTCTGGGACATGCTTCTGGCTTTCTACCAAGCTTATAACTTGATACCTCTATACCCTTCTACTGTTCCCACCAAGTGTCACATAGCAAATCTGCCCTCGTGGCTTCTCTCTGCATTGTGGATTGCTACTTATGGTTTTTATTGCCTTTCTGTCAAGGGATCGCTCGTGTCTCCACTTATATCAGTCACATCGCTTACTGTTTTTAGCTAAGTCTCACATGCCAACGTCTTGGAAGAGAGGGCTGGTTAAGCTGTGACTGTTCAACTGCAAGGGCTCCAGACACAATGGCAGTTCTGTTTGTTGTCTGTGGGTTAGTCTCCAACTAGGACCCATCAAGAGGTGCCAGTGCAGAGGGTCACATGGCAGTAAGGGCAATGTTTCAGCATAGAGTCTTGACAAGACTACTCCTAGACAGAGCAGGGCTGGTCTTCACACCTCTTGTAGTTTTGTGGAATCCTACTTAAAACTCCACTTGTGAAATAATTTCAGGAAAGAGCTCTGAAAGTGAGTCACTACATGGTTTGCCTGACAGCATGTGGCAAACAGTTTTGTCTCACCTTTTTATGTCCAAAAATGACCTAAATTTTTTGGTGTAGAAGTAGAAATATTTCAAATGGAAAAAAATACTTCAGAATAAACATTCAAAATGAAAGCAGAAGCTTTAGATAGAAACTTTTTCTGTTTTATTCCAAAGATAGACTTGAGTTTCCAAATTGAAAATCATAAAAAACTGATAAAAGCTCCAAGCAACAAGCTTTCTAACCAGAATTGTTTATAATAGAATATGGTGCCTGCCACTTGTATATGTCAACTAAAAGTATGCTCCACTGCCACACTGCAGGAAATAATCAATGTATCCACATCTTGTATGGATTAAATCTACTTGCAGCCTTTTAACACATGCTAACTTTAATTCTCCCAACTCTAGAAGCTAAGCATTGCTTGAATGTGTAGATTTAACATGTTTCCATCTCAGCATCCATATACTCTGATACATCTGTCTCCTTGTTCCCAAATTTAAGCTAGGCTTATCCTCATCTAGACCTCACATGACAGCATTGATCAAAAACTCCACCTTTGAGACATGAACTGAGCACACATGCTTGTTTCTACTCTTTGAAAACTTCACTTGAATAACTAAAAAGGGTTAAAAGAGTACACACAAAATAATAAGCACAATAACAAACACAACAGAAATGATAACACATGCTATAAGCCTGAAAGCCCATAGACAAAAGTGAAAGACAGTTTCCTGCTCTTCCACTCTGTTAGTAACATGCAAAGAAGTAGGTGAGAGTTTAGTAACTCAGCACCCCAGAACAGCTACAATCCAATTCTTGGGATCTGGAAGGGATGAGTTTACTGGAGGTGGCCCCACTGTAGTCCTAGGTGTGGGAGGGAGACCTGGACCCCATGTGCTGCTGCTGCCTTTGTTATTGTGGGAGTTAGGTCTACATTGGGTTTTAGATTTCCTTTGTGTCACCTCTTTTCTGGTCTTTGTCTTAAGTAGCTTTAGTATTCCTCTCTGTCACTACTAGAGGCTCTGCAGCTCCACTCCCAGGTTTAAGTTCATTGTGCTAATGATGGATTCAGTAATTAAATATGCATCCTAAACTCACTGCACTCTACTTTATAGTAATGTTATACCACTTCTGGTAGAACACAGGCCTGTCCCCTTAAGAGAGTGGTCACTCTTAAAAAATCATACCCTATAGCCTGAAGAAATCAGGATACACCTCCTGTAGCTCCCTTTATGGGACTAAGTTAAGAAGCTATGCTGTAGCTAACAGCTTCTAAATACTGTCCATGCTCTTTGTTATATATACTATGTTGAACCAAATCACAAGGTGTAAGATTTCTCCACCTGATAAAGGGTCAGATGCTTCCATTGTTGGGGAGACTTTTGTGCTCCCCATCCCTCACTTTCTGCTCTTCCCTTAATCTTATTCTTACTCTTAATGAATCTCCTCTCCAAGTTTTTAAGAGAAGCCTCTCCACTTTAGGCACTGTTACCTCAAGGCCCTTCTAATAAACATCATTCTTTGATGGGTCAAATTCCTTTCATAGAACAACCAACCCATGGATCTTTTTCTCTTTTTTCTATATTTAATTACATCACATCTCTTTTAAGAATCTTGAGAAGGCAATACAGACTCTATCTTAGGGAAGGACCACCATCTTAGATCATCTGCTATACTCAGTTCCAGGACAGCCTTTGGGTCCCAGATAGGTGGGTGCAGCCAAGGCAGCCCAGAGGCTACTGTGGGAATCCCGGTTGCTGCCAAGCGACCAGGAGATAGGGAAGGCTGTGAGCACCTCAACCCAAGTTCAGGTTCAAGACTGGCCCCCGCATAAGGAGCTGTGGGATGGAGGCTTTGCGGCACGGTGTGGTTGGCAGCCAGGTGGGCCCAGAGACTGCTGTGGGAACTAAGCATGGCCAAGACCTAGGGTGGGCCATGAGCACCGTGGGGCCTGAGTCAGAGGGGCCTGCCTGGCTGAGATAGTGAGTCCCTTCCAGTCTGCCGCTCTTGTGCACTTGAGAATCTGGGGTTAGCACCAATCTTCTGACCCCATGCTGCATGCCTTCCCTGTACCCTTCATCTCCCATACTAATGGGTAGGGCTCCAAAGACCTGCCCTGGGGCTAAACCTGTTTAGCTCCAAGAGCAGAATAGAATGTCACTGCCTGTGGTTGCTAAGCTACAGCAGCTACGCTGTATCCAGGGCTGCCTTGATCGTTCAGATCCAATAGAGTCTTCACATTTGTACAGTATTGATGCAAATTTAGAGTTATTCTTGTTATGATATATACATGTATTCTATTCTTGTCTAAAATATTGTAGCTTTACAATATGTTCTAGACTACTGAGGGGAATCACAAGAAAGACTTTGGTAAGAGTTTCTATGTTTAAAATTTTTTTAAAGGAAAGGAAAAGCCAAATTTGTCTGAAGTAAATGTCTGAGAAATCAAAAGTATGGACTGAGGGTACATAGAAGGTTGTAGAAAGTCAGAGGGGATGTGAGGAGATATGAACTATGTTTGTTGTGGTTTCTTATACCTGCAAATACTAAAGTTGAAAGTTAATTCTGGTTGGTTTTGATTTTAAAATTAGCTGATGATTCCACACTGCAAACTGTTTATGTTAAAAATGGAGATACATATATGTATGTATGTATGTATGTATGTATGTATGTATGTATGTATGTAGACATGTATGTGACTTGGACTTAACTCTAAATGTAAGCTAGCTTTAACTGCATGTATGTGTATGTAACCTGGATCCAACTGTGTGTATGTGTGCAAGTAATTATTATTCAGAAAAACATGTTTTAAACAGCAACCATGTGGCTTTCCTCCATCTTGGCTGGTGACCTCATAGGCAGCCACATGGCTGGCAGCCATCTTTTACTAAAGATTATAAAGATTCATTCAGGCTAACAAAAGCTAACTTAGAGATTTACACTTAAGTACTTATGTCTTTACCAAGTGTTCAAAAGCAAGCTTCTAGAGAATTTAAATAGATGGTTACATGTGTTTGATAAATATTGATAAAAAAAATAAGGTATTTGATAAATATTAAAGCTGCATCTCAATGCTTTTATATACAAGAATGTACCTTGCTCAAGTAACTAAACTTTATAAGAGTCATCCAAGTGATAGTCACCAGAAGCACCAGCCACAATGAAATAGAGCAGGCTGAGATGTAGAAGGCAGGCTATGTATATGCTGCCAAGGGTAGGGCCAAAAAAATGAATCAAGCCTCTAAGTAAAAGAACCAAAAGGATTGTGAATGAATCTGAGATATTGAACTTTGGGATTGTTTGCACTTTTGAGCTTGGTTTTGCTTTATACAGATTATGATTATGCTATGTTTTCTCCCACTTAAAGTAAAAGAATGTACTTTATTGTTGATATTGCAGAAAGACATTTGAGAGATCTTAACCTTTTTAAGAACAGTTTTTTAAATATTTAAATTTATAGGGCTATGGGACATTTTAAGTTTATAAAATGCTCTATATTGTTAATATTTGGACTTAAAAGGCTAAAAATTAGGATCAGAGCCATAAGCACCAAATACTAACCAGAAACTGGGATGTTCATTTTTTGTGGTGCAGCAAGATAATGACCTAGGTAAAGGGCTTGGAACAGCTTCTGACTCCATGAGTATTAACCCTCTGGAAGTTGGAAAAAAACTTTTTACAGAGGTAGCCTAGAACAACTTTTATGTCAGATGTTTGCATTGATATTCAACAATGGCAAAACAGTAGTTATGAAATAGCATTGAGAAAGCTGAGAATCAGTGAGGCTTAAGAACATTTGCTTAGCCTCCTTGCCTTTGCTAAATTTGTTAAACTTAAGCTATTTAGATAATCTGGATCATATATATGTTTTATATTGATGTTTTATTTTGGTTTCTTTACTCAACTTGTATTTGATACTAAAAGACCTTCAATTTAAAATCATTGTTTTTAAGGCTAGACTGTTAGAGAACATAAGTAAATAGTCATATTATAATAAAGTTTTTTTTAATTGTAGTCATGCTAAGTGCTGATGTAACTAATTACAGGGATAAGCTTTACTCAGTCCCTTACATAAGTTTTCAGGGTTGAGCTTAAAACAAGTAACTAGAAACAAAGTTTGTCTATTCAGATATACCTGGATAGCCCTCATACTTCAGAGATCTGCAGAATATGGCATTTAAAATGTTGATCTAAAAGCTTTTTATATCAGACAGACTCCCAGATCCTAACAGTGACCCAAAGTCTCCAAAGAAGATTACACATGGGGCACCACAATGTCTCTGCCTGGACTATGGCAAAGCTGACCACAGGGAAAGATGCCCCCAATGCAACACCTGCTGACAGGACCTGGCCCAGACTGTGGACAAGCAGCAAGACATCAGGGAATTGATTGCACCCCTTTTTGCCTTCCTGTGTGTTTCCCTCTTCTACAGGAAAAACTCTGCCTTATGGGCCTGATGGCCAAAGAAGACGATGCTGTTCCAATACTTGTGCCTCCAATGCTATGGAGGCCTGGGTATGGACTGTTCCCTGTCATTTATAGAATTGGAAGCTGCTTGGTCTGCACTCAGATATAATTTATCCTTCTCAGATCTCTGATAGTACTGATGGTTAGGCTAGCTATAATTTTGTCAGCTTGGCAACATCAGACAAACAGATCCTTCCACAAGGCTATAGCCAGCTTGTTAGCCCATTTTTAAGAAAATGTGCTAAGATATAAAAGTTTAAATAAGTCAGAAAGGTTTAAATATGGGTCTAAAAAAGGGTCTGAGGATATGAAAGCTTATAAGCTTTGAGGATCTCAGAAAATGATTTAGATTATGAGAAATGTTTCAGATTGCTTTCACATTCTATGATGTAACAGTTCTGAACTTAGCATTTAATAGAGTTCTGATAAGCTGGTAGAGCAATGACTCCTTACTGTTCAGTCACAAGCTCAACATTTTAGATTTATTTTAGTTGTAATCTAAATATATCTAAATAAAAAACCTAGATGTGCTTCTCATCAGACCAAAAAAAAAAAAAAATCTCTGTCCAATTTACACCTGGCTCCCTGGACAGAAGGAAAATGCACAAGCTTTTAACCCAAATCTGTAGTTCTTGTTGGGACTCAAAGGTATAAGTCCACTTCTGCTGTTTTACAGATATCCATTACCTGCTTTGTCTATGATATGGATTTCAGTACAGATTGGTAATACTAAGGTATCTAAAACTTTTATGTCATTTTGTAAGATAATTCATATAGGCTTCAGAGGATTAACAGTCATAAAACCTGGATCCACCTCACAGAGGTCAGAAGAACCCCAGATAAGTACAGCTTATTCCTAAGGATGGTATTTTTCTCTTCCCTGGTCTTGGGACTCCTGCTCTTCCCAATTACTAAGGATATGGGCCTAAGGGTTCCAAACAAGTTCATAAATTTTAACCTCTGTTCCTAGTTTAAATTTGTCTCAACCGATTTCCATTTGAGCTTCAGTTGCTGACTACACTGCTCTGGATAACTATGAGCTCTGGAACTGCTAAAAGCTGACATGGACCAGTCCAGCCAATGTGATTGTTCCCTGTCTTTACAGCTGGGTCAAATAGCCACATAATTCTGATGAATGTCCCATTGCCCAGCCTTTGACCAGCCTTTCAGCCTTTTGGAGCCCTGACAACACCCCAAAGCCAGCTTGAAGCAGTTTCAGAAGAAAATACACCATTCCATGTTCCTGTGCAGAATAAGGCTGAAATGCTAGGTCAAAAGGAAACTCCTTGGCATAGAGACAAGATGGTCAACTATAATGCTCATTGACATACTAGGAAAATAGGTTCAGAATTGTCAATTGATAAATTTATTAACTGAAATAGTTCTGCAATAAGATAAGACACTTATCCTTCTTTGTGAAGAACCAAAGAGGTATTACTCAAAGATCAGAACTACAGGGCCTTAAGAATGATGATAGATACAGATGTCACTGCCCTAGAAAAATCTGTTAGCTAATGAATCTTAGGTCCCAATACCCTTGAACCTCTGGACAGGTAGCACTCATAATTGAGTCCTGTCATTGGTACTTGTGAAGGGGGGAATGTGAAGGCAATACAGACTACATCTTAGCGAAGGGCCACCATCTTAGATCATCTGCTCTACTCAGTTTCAGGAAGGACCTCAGGAATGTGCCATGACAATTCAAACAGATACAGGGCAGTATGTGCCTATAGACATTCTGTCTATGGTTTATGGCCCTTGAAGATATCTAGATAATCCTGTTGAGCAGCCAAGATAATCCTGCTCAGCAAGTTGTGGTTCCCCACCAAAAGGTCCAATCCAATAGTTTCAAATGTGGTTTCATGCTGAAAGTCTAGACCAATAGTTTCCAAAAATCACCTTGCCCCATATCCCTTCTACCCAATCCCAAGTTGCCAAAGCATGTAATTTCCAGCTTATGGTGTTTCCCTATAAAAAAAAAAAAACTCTCTACCCCTGAGCCCACTACCTCCACATTTCCCTCCATCTGCCATGTGGTAGCCCAGGTTCAAACCTGACAATAAAAGGACCCTTATGTGCTTGTATCAGAAACTGGCTCCTTGGTGGTCTCTGGGGGTTTTGTGAAATGGGTACAACAATCTAATTGCCAGAAATCTTCCTATAGTCCATCTTGAGCTCATTTCTGGATACAAATTGCCTGAGACCTAACACCTACTTTTATCCTGTTTTTGAAAGAATAATAAACACTCTTTGAAGAGCTAGAAGACAATGTGAACCTGTTGTCATGTTTTCATACAATGTTAAGGAACACAAAAGTATTCAGAGTTCTTTCATCTTTCCAACTGACTTTGCCACTGCTAGCTGGGTAGGGAAGTTAAAGAAGATCTCTTAATCAGAACAAAACATCTTATGCAGCAAAATGAGTGAAATTTCAAACTAAAAAGATTTCATCACACAGTTCAAGGAACTTTGCCACCTACTAACACTGATTTCAAATTTTAAATTCAAACATTCTCTATTATCAAAGGCAAATGATGAGAACAGAGAATGTTTTAAGTAATTTTCACACAGATCAAACGCATTAATAATTGGCACTGTGCTTTCCAAGATGTGACAGCTGGAGGTTACAAAATTATTGAAATTTTAATTATATGATAGTTCACACCAATAACTCAGAAGTAGATAAATAGGAAGTAAAAGAGATGATTTTAAGTGGAGACCTTCTGGGATCTGGTATTCATGACTGGTCAGTTACAATGTGTGGTGGAAAAGCATCTTTTAAAATAGGAAGGTCAACAAGCTCCAGTAGCGTCAAGGAAGCAAGACATGATTTCACTTTCCCTTCTATGTAAATGTGTCTCAAATTCTTAAATTCTAAAGTTTTCTTCCTAGAAAATGATTCCTGCTCAGTAAAATTTCATTAGAAATGATGGATGACATTTTAGAAACTGTTTTGACTTGGATTTCTTGTCATATTTTAGAGACCCACCTTGGTGTCTGCTTTAGCTAGCCCCTTAATGATCTTGCTTCTTTTTACAGGGGTAGCCTAGGACCACCTGAATGTCAAGTGTTTATATTGAGATTCATAACAATGACAAAACTACAAAAATGTCTCTCCTCATCTAAGGTTTATTCAGGCTAACAAAGACCAATTTATGCCTAACTGTCTCACTTTACTTACATATTGGTAAGCTTTGAAGGAGATGAGGAGGGTCCCCAATTCCCATACAGGAATTGGTGAAAATGACTTTTTTTAGCACCTGAAAACAGACAGCTGAGCCTTCCCAATGGGCCCAGCTGCAACAGGAGACTATGCTCCAAGCCCCATACCTTAACAGTTGCCCTGAGGATACCACCCCCCCCACACACACACACACACACGGAGGACAAGGGACATCAACTATGAGGCTCTATCCCACCAGAGCTGAGCCCAAGTCAACTCTTCCAGGAGCCTGCATCAAATGCAGCCTGGGGCCACTGGTCACAGCATTACCCTGACTAATCAGCTGCCCATGAGGCTATGCCCTGTCTGTTGACAGCCTGGACACTGGAGATCGGATGCCCTGTGCAGGCTTGTCTTCTATGCCATGGAGATCCAGTCCAGCCTCGCCAACACTGGCATCTGACTATCTTGGCCTTTGAACTCCTAAGCCTGGTGGAGGACTGATAGCACCTAGACTTGGTGACTCCCATTCCCTCTCCAAGCCTAGAGTGATGCTGCAGTAGCAGGTAAGTCCATTGATCTTTTACTGGATTCAGGAGCTACCTACTCTGTTGTAACCTCTTCCTCAGGTCTCAAAGTTTCCTCACCAATTCCTGTCACAGGGGTAGATGGAACCCCCTCCTTCCCATTTAAGAGAAACCTGGGACTGCCTATGTAGCTGGAATGCTGTCTTGGTCCTGTTCACTTACTCATCCTTCTCAGATCTGATGGTGTTTGATGACCAGGATTTGCCAATTTTACAGCTCTCTCCACCCCTAAGGCTACAAGCACCTTGATAACACATTAGTAAGTTTCCTGTTAAAAGTACAGATAGGTGTTGTGCCTCATTCGCAGACTTCATGGTACAGGATAAACCAGTTTCATATGTAAATTCAGAAGGTCAAAATTTTAGTATTGATGAATGCAGTTTTGCTAAACTGATGGAGCACTGACTACAGACAGTCTTGGGTGTCCTTAAACTTCTGTGGGCTTTACTGGTCCCAGCTTTTAGAGACAGGTTAGCATTTGAGAGGGTAGGGAAGCCTCCCTTCTCTTCCTTCACTCACCCAACCCCTTCCATTCAGTAAATGTTCTCTGGTTATAGATTTAAGGATGTGTTTCATTGGGCCAAAACCAGGCCTAGAAAATGTTCATGCCTTTTAGCCCAAAGCCATAACTTTTACTATGACACCAAGGTGTAAATCTGTTCAAGTTGTTTTACAGACACAAATTCCTGTACAGATCCACCCCTCCTGCCAGACACATACCAAGGCCAGACCCTCAAAGGTCCTCCAGATATACCACCAGCTGTTGCACCAACCAAGGACACCAACCAGGCGAATACCAGCAGGTTGGTTTCCCCCACATACCCATTCATAATAACACCATTATCTCCTAATTAATTTACACTTTTGCAGGATGGATGGGGGCATCTCCCACCTCCAGAGAAACAGCATATGTTATGGCTCCTGTACTCCTGATTTGGTGTGCTATTCCCCAAAGCTCCTGGAATATCACTGCTGGTACTACCACTCCAGACTCAAGGGCATATCTGCTCTTTTGTCTGGCTCATCCACCCTTGCCTCTTCTGTACAAGCAGGGCATTTCTCCATCCCATTCTTTCTGGCAGTTATCACTCTTTCCATGGCTAACCCTGCCTATGAGGCCAATGATAAGAATCTATTTTTTCCCTAGCAACCTGCTTTCTCAACTTCCTCAAGGGGTCTCCAGTATGACATCTAACTGAATGCTTCTTCACTCACACCTCCCACCGTGCATCACTTCCAACTTCCCCCTCCCCACTTTGCCCCAAAATCAACAGGAAGCAATCTCAAGAATTTGGCACCCTCATCTCCCCCACTTGCTATCCATTACTCATCTTTTTATAATAACCAAAAAGGGAAGAATGTTAGGACCCACCCAGCATCGTGACATCATCGTATATAAAACCTCCATTAAGAGAAAACCCCTCCACATTCCCTTCTTTTTCCTCTCTTCCTCTCTTTCTTCACAAGGTTGCACACACTTCTGGTTTCCTTTTCTCTCTCTCTTTCCCTCTCTTTCTCTCTCTATCCCTTTTTTGCTCTCTTCCCTCTCCCCTCTCCCTTTAATAATTAAACTTTCCACATGGATGCCATGTCTGCAGTGTGTAACTTTCCACCATGCCACACTGCCACCCACTGCATCTACATGGCACCTTGGCTCAAACCCACCAAGGCCTCTCATGTGCCATTTCACAACACCCTTGATCTCCTGTTTTTGTCTTATTGCTCTAGCTAGAACTTCAAGTACTATATTGAATAGATATGGAAAGAGTGCATAGCCTTGTCTTGTTCCTGCTTTTAGTGAAATCGCTATGAGTTTCTCTCATTTAGTTTGATGTTGGCTGTCAGCTTGCTGTAAATTGCCTTTATTATGTTTACATATGTTCCTTGTATCCTTGTTCTCCCCAAGACCTCTATCATGAAGGGGTGTTGGATTTTGTCAAAGGTGTTTTTAGCACCTAATGAGATGATCATATGTTTTTTTTTTCTTTCAGTTTGTTTACATGGTGGATTTCATTCACAGATTTTTTTTGTTGTTGCTGAACCATCCTTACATCTCTGGGATGAAGCTTACTTGACCATGGTAAAGGTTTTTTTTTTTATGTGTTCTTGGATTCAGTTTGCCAGTATTATATTGAGTATTTTTGCATCAATGTTCATGAGGGAGATTGGTTTGTAATTCTCTTTCTTTGTTGTATTTTTGTGTGGTTTGGGTATCAGTGTGACTGTAGCCTCATAAAAAGAGTTTGGCAATGTTCCTTCTGTTTCTGTTGTGTGGAACAATTTGAGGAGTATAGGTATTAGATCTTCTCTGAAATTCTGGTAGAATTCTGCACTGAAACCATCTAGCCCTGGGCTTTTTTTGGTTGGGAGTATTTTAATGACTGCTTCTATTTCTTTGGGGGTTATGGGTCTATTTAAGTTGTTTATTTGGTCTTAATTTAATTTTGATAAGTGCTACCTATCCAGATAATTGTCCATTTCTTTCAGATATTTGCATTTTGTGGAATACAAGTTTTGGAAGTGTGACCTAATGATTTTCTGGATTTCCTCAGTGTCTGTTGTTATGTCCCCCATTTCTTTTTTTTGTTCGTTTGTTTGTTTGTTTTTTGAGACAAGGTTTCTCTGTGTAGTTTTGGTGCCTGTCCTGGATCTCGCTTTGTAGAGTAGGCTGGCCTCAAACTCACAGAGATCCGCCTGTCTCTGCCTCCTGAGTGCTGGGATTAAAGGTGTGCACCACCACCACCCAGCTCCCCATATTTGTTAATTTAAATATTCTCTCTCTGATTTTTGGTTAGTTTGGATAAGGGTTTGTCTATCATGTTGATTTTCTCAAAGAATCAACTCTTTATTTCATTGATTCTTTGTATTGTTCTCTTTGTTTCTATTTTATTGATTTTAGTCCTCAGATTAATTATTTCCTGTCCTCTATTCCTCTTGGGTGAGTTGCTTTCAGGTGTGCTGTTAGGTTGCTAATGTGAGATTTCTCCAAATTTGTTATGTAAGCACTTAGTGCTATAAACTTTCCTCTTACTACTGCTTTCATAGTGTCCCATAAGTTTGGGTATGTTGTGCATTCATTTTCATTGAATTGAAGGAACTCTTTAATTGCTTTCTTTATTTCTTCCTTGACCCAGCACTGATTCAGTTGAGCATTGTTCAGTTTCCAAGAGACTGTAGGATCTCTGTAGTTTTTGTTTTTGTTGAATTATAACTTTAAGTCGTGGTGATCTGATAAGATACAGTGGTTTATTCCAATTTTTCCATATCTGTTGAGATTTGCTTTGTAACTGAGTATGTGGTCAATTTTAAACAAGTTTCCATGGGGTGCTGAGAAGAAGGTATATTCTTTTGTATGTCAGTAGAATGTTCTGTAAATGTCTGTTAAGTCTATTTGATTCATAACATCTTTTAGTTCCCTTATTTCTCTGTTAAGTTTCTGTCTGACAGACCTGTCCATTGGTAGGAGTGGAGTGTTGAAGTCTCCCACTATTAATGTGTGGGGTTTGATGTGTGATTTAAGCTTTAGTAATGTTTCTTTTACAAAAGTGGGTGCCCTTGTATTTGGGGCATAAATGTTCAGAACTGAAATTTCATTTTGATGGATTTTTCCCATGGTGAATATTAAATGTCCTTCTCCATCTCTTTTGATTAATTTTAGTTTGAAGTCTATTTTGTTAGATATTAGGATAGCTACACCAGCTTGTTTCTTAAGTTCATTTGATTGGAAAATCTTTTCCCAACCCTTTACTCTGAGGTGTAAGATGAATTGCTAAATGGTCTTATTAATAAAATACCCAGAGCCAGATATTGTGGTTAAAACTGAGAGATCAGAGGAATAGGACAAGCCACAGTCAACCTCACCTCACCAACTCCTCACTTTCCAAAGAGACCTACTTCCTGTATACCCATGCCTATATGCCTTTCTGTTCTCCATCTCACTTCCTCTCTCTGCCTGCCTACATTGCTTCCTCTTTCTGCCCAGCTCTGTTACTTCCTGTCTATTTGTACAGACCTCCAGACCCTTTAAGTTAATTAGTGTTGGAATTTAAGGCATGTGCCACTATGCTTAGCTCTGTTCCCAATGTGGCCTTGAATTCAGAGATCTGGTTGGATCTCTGCCTCCTGAATGCTAGGATAAAAGGTGTGTGCTACCATTGCCTGACTTCTATGTTTAATATAGTGACACAATATATCACCATACTGAGGTAATGTTGGTCTTTGAAGTTGAAGTGTGTTTTTTATATGCAGCAGAAGGATGGAAGGATGGATCCTGTTTTTGTATCCATTCTGTTAGCCTTTTTATTGTCAAATTGAGTCCATTGATATTAAGAGATATTAATGACCAGTGATTGTTAATCTCTGTTATTTTTTGCATTTGGTGGTGGTGGTAGTGTGTGTGTGTGTGTGTGTGTGTGTGTGTGTGTGTGTGTGTGTGTGTGTGTGTGTTTTTCCTTCTTTGGGATTGGCTAGTGTGAGATTATCTATTGCCTATGTTTTTGTGGGTATAGCTAACTTCCTTGGGTTGGAGTTTTCCTTCTAGTATTTTCTGTGGGGCTGGATTTATTGTTAGGTATTGTTTAAATCTGGATTGTCATGAAATAGCTTGTTTTCTCTGTCTATTTAAAGTTTTGCTGGCTATAGTAGCATAGGCTGGAATCCATGGCCTCTTAGTGTCTGCAAAATGTCTGTCTAGGACCTTCTGCATTTCAGAGTCTCCATTGAGAAGTTTGGTATTCTGACAGGTTTGCCTTATATGTTACCTGCCTTTTTCTTTTGCAGCTCTTAATGTTCTTTTTCTGTATGTTCAGTGTTTTGATTATGTGGTAAAGGAATTTTTTCAGTCCAGTCTATTTGGTGTTCTGTAAGCTTCTTGTACCTTCATAGACATGTCCTTCTATAGGTTGGAAAAGTTTTCTTCTATAATTTTGTTGAATATACTTTCTGTGCCTTTGAGCTGAAATTCTTCTCCTTCTATCCCTAGTATTCGTAGGTTTGGTCTTTTCATGTGTCCCAGATTTCCTGGATGTTTTGTATTAAGAATGTGTTGGATTTGTCATTTACCCAGATTTTTCCATTTCTAGAATTCCCTCAGTTTGTGTTCTTTATTGCCCCTATTTCAATTTTCAAGTCTTGATCTGTTTCCTTCACCTGTTTGATTGATTTTTCTTGGCTTTCTTGAAGGGATTTACCGATTTCTTCCAATTTTTTGTTTGTCTTTCCCTCAATTTCTTTAAGGGAATTTTCCTTTCCTCTTTAAGGGCCTCTATCATCTTCATAAAGTTATTTTTAAGGTTGTTTTCTTCTGCTTCATCTGCATTGGGATGTTCAGGTCTTGCTGTTGTAGAATCACTAGTTTCTGGTGGTGCCATATTTTTCTTTGTGTTGTTGAATGTATTCTTACACTGCCATCTACCCATCTGGGTTTGGGGTAATTATACGCACAGGTGTTGATTCTTCCTCCAATCTGTGCATTTTGTGGTTGCATCTCCATGACTTCTCTTCCTCCAATCAGTGCTGGTAGAGCCTGTGCCTCCAGGGGGCCTCTGATACTTTTGTGGAGGGTGGTAGAGCAGCCTGTGTAGATGTAACCATCTTATTAAATAAGAAACACAGAGCCAATGCAGAGATGAAAGCCCAATAGGTCAGAGCTAAAAACCTTACCCTTCACTGTCGCTGCTGTCTTCCTCAGCCAAGAGAGCTACTTCCTGTCTGTTTGTCTTTTTTTATAGACTTTCTATTCTGCCTTCTCATTGGTTGTAAACCCAACCACATGACCTCCTCATCACTGCCTGTGTGTACAGAC